AATGAAAGAAATTTTAAATGAAGCACATAGCAGTAAATTTACAATTCATCCTGGTTCCACTAAAATGTATCAAGATTTGAAAAAGATATTTTGGTGGCCAGGAATGAAAAAGGATATTACTGAACATGTTTCAAAATGTTTGGTTTGTCAAAAGATAAAAATTGAACATAAAAAACCCTCAGGATTACTTCAACCATTAGACATACCAGAATGGAAGTGGGAAAGTGTAGCAACTGACTTTGTAATGGGATTACCAAGAACTCAGGAAGGATATGATGCAATTTGGGTAATCATTGATCGATTAACCAAATCTGCTCATTTTCTACCAATCAAAGCTCAATACAATATTGAGAGATTAGCTCAGCTGTATATAAAAGAAATTGTCAAACTTCATGGTATACCTTTAAGTATTGTGTCAGATAGAGACCCTAGATTTACTTCTAGATTTTGGAGATCTTTGCAGCAAGCCTTCGGAACTAAGTTAAGACTTAGTACCGCATACCATCCTCAAACTGATGGTCAAACTGAAAGAACCATTCAAACTTTAGAGGACATGTTGAGAGCCTGTATTTTTGAGCAGGGAGGTAGTTGGGATAAATACATGCCACTAATAGAGTTCGCCTATAATAAGAGTTACCACTCTAGTATTGGAATGGCTCCCTATAAGGCACTCTATGGAAGAAAGTGTAGATCTCCTGTGTGTTGGTATGAAAAAGGAGAAAAACAGTTGTTGGGACCAGAATTAGTCCAGGAAACCTCGAGACAAATTCAGATGATAAAAGAAAATCTTGAAAAAGCACAAAGCAGACAGAAAAATTATGTTGATAACAGGTGAAAACCTTTGTCTTTTGAAGAAGGAGAACATGTTTTTCTTAAACTTTCTCCTACCACATGTGTAGGTAGAACCCTCAAAGTTAGAAAATTGAGTCCTAGATATATTGGTTCGTTTCAAATACTCCGAAAAATAGGGCCAGTTGCTTACCAACTTTCTCTTCCACCTTATCTTTCCAATTTTCACAGTGTTTTTCATGTTTCTCAGCTTAGAAAGTATGTCCCAGATCCCTCTCACATTCTAGATATAAACTCAGTACAAGTTAAAGAGAATCTGACTATTAAGACCAGACCAGCTTAAATCCTTGATAAAAATTTGAAACAATTGAGGAATAGGATGGTTCCATTAATCAAAGTACATTGGGAAGGACTTTCACCACATGAAGCGACATGGAAAAAAGAGGAAGAATTACGACAAAATTATCCAGAATTTTTTTAGCAGGTATGTCAAAATTTTGGGACAAAATTTTATTTAGGAGAGGGAAAATGTAATATTCTAAAATCATAATTGAATAAAAATAATAAATAAATATATATATATATATATATATATGTATAAAATAAAATAAAAATAATGATAAAGAAATAAATATATATATATATATATGTATAAAATAAAATAATAATAATGACAAAATAACATATATATACATATATATATATATATTAAAGTATTAAATAATTAAAATAATATAATAGTAATAATAAATAAAATAAAATAATAATATATAAATATATATATATATATATATATATATATATATATATATGTACCTAGCACCGTGTAAAAAAAAAAACAATAAAAAAAACAATTGAAGCTTATCAAAATGTGGATCTTCTAGATATCTAGTAACGTGTAAAAAAAGATCAGAATGATAAGACTTGTATTAAATGCAATTATTACTTTAGTAAAGAATAGTTAGATTTAGACAAAATTTTAGTTAGTTTGGTTAGAAATCAATTAGATGTAATCATCAGAGGTAGTCAAAATAGTCAAAAAAACAAGGGCTATATATATGGGTACATATGAATCAGAATAAGAAGAGAAGGAACGAAAACATAGAAAAGAAAAAAGAAAAAAAAATGATCCGAAGAATAGCGAGAAAGAGAAGTAAAGGGAGAGGAGGAGAAGGTAGTATTGAGAGAGTAAAATTTTCTCTCTATTTTCTTCCTTTTAGTTATATTCTTTTTTTATTTATTTAAGAAAATTGTAATGCTGTTATTCTGCCAAAATGTTTTTTTCTCTTCTCTTATTAAATATTATTTGCATCTACATTCTTACCTTAATCTTTCTTTTAATTCTGTTTTACCTCTTATGTTATTAGTATATTCATTAAATTTTAAATTTTCCTTAGTAGTAAGATACAACAAATTATTTGGTACTTAATAAATATTAAAAGAATGTGTAATTTTAACTGTAATGTACTGTTGTGAACTGACCCATAAAGTTTTGGGATCAGACAGTTAAAGGGTAAGGGACGCCTTATCATGGTTTGAGCTCCGCCATACAGAACTTTTCACATGCAGCAAACCCACATAAATTGGGTATTTAAATAGTTTCAGTTAAATATTATACGGTGTAGTGTTTATTATTATTCTATTGCTTTTTCATTTTCTATTAATTGAGAGAATGATATTTTCTGTTACTACAACTGGAAATGGTTATAGTTAAAAAAGAAAAAGAACCTCAATATTACTGAGAATTTTCTCATGTTTTATTTGTTGCTAACCTTTCCAGAAAATCATAATGTTTTGCTTAAGCTTGTTAGGTGAAGGATGGAGTATCAATCTTTACTCTTACTATGATCGCATGGAATTCTATATTGTAATAGAAAATCAAGGAGCTGCTGCAATATTCTATGCTGAAAGTGTGAAGACCTACACCTATAGACTAGATTAGGATAAGCCTCATGTATTGTATAATTAGGTGATGTAAGGATGTAAGATACAAATAAAGTGATGTAATATATAATAGGATGTAGGACCGTTGTAAAATATTTCCAGTGTGTACTTGACTCAATGATATGTATAAAGTGACGTTAGTATATGTTTGTTTAAGTTTCCTTTTTAATTTTCTCATCGTCAATATTAAAATTTAAAGAACTCATGTAATTATAAGAGTTTATATTAAGGGTTGTTACAGAAACAATCCCCTTTGGGAAGCCAATTGACTCTGTTCGTTTTATCTTGCGATTGGGCCATTAATCTTTACCCCATTCTACACTTTCTTTTCTTCTTTTAGGAACAGGCTGCCATTTCTTCCGTTCTCAAATGGGCCAGTTTTTTCATGTTCGTGTGTTAACTTAAAGAAACAGTCATTGGGGTCAGTAGTACTTTGCGTTTTTTTTTTTTTTTTTTAACCCCTTTCAAATTTTCTTTTTTGCAATATACCTCTCGTATTATATTGCTGTTTTCTAATGACAGACTAAGATTCTGATATAAAACTACTAAAGTAACCGATATTCACTAAAACATTTTATCTCTTTTTTTTTGTTTTTTTTTTGTAAGCAACATTTTATCTCTTTAAAGGTGCAGGCTATTATCTCTAGCTACTTTAGCAGCGTAGGCAAAGGCTTTATATGGTCTCTAATAAAAAAATTCTTATACACAAAACTTTTCTGAGGTTATATATTTTTGTAAAATTTTATCTTTCTTTATAAATCTCAATTGTGTTGCCTTTATAAATTAAATTAGCGAATATCTCGTGGATTGCACAGTTATTTTACATTTAAAGGAAATTTATAAAGTATAAACTAAAATAAAATATTTAAAATTATAAGTATCCATAATAAATTAAAGTAGAATATGAAACATATAGATTAAAGGAAAAATATTTTAAAATGCTACAGAACAATGCATAATTATTTTAAAAGAATTTAGGTTTTAAATTTAAAATGAATTAAGAATGATATCTGTTATTCTTGGAAGAAGAGTAAATTAAAATATTAATACATATTGTTAATATTGTTTACTTTATTATAATGCATAGAGTGAAGCAACTAACTTTTAGAAGAAAGAACAAATTTGAATGTAAAGATGGAAATTTGAAATGAATAAATTTTATAGTACTATAAATAGGTAAGTTATTTTTTTTAGGTGGGGCGGGGGTGGGAATTGATGTAAAAAGAAAAACTTGAGAGTAACTATTTTGAAAGTAGGTAACAAAGATTCGAAAGAAAAAAAAAAGATTTTATCATTAATAAAATTAAGTAATTAATATTTTAAGAGTTGGATGTCATCATGTACAAACCCCACTGTCAAAAGAAAAGACCAACTTTGATATGTTTAACATTAATACCATTTAAACCTATGTTATCATATTAAAAACATCAAACTATTTAATGATCTGTTTGATAAATGATGGAATGACCAATAATAAATAAACTCATTGAATTATTATCACGGAACAAAACAAATCGTATTCACCCTTTTCCCAAGATTATGGCATAGAAGCTTTTCTCAAGGTAGCCAAACTACTTGATCAGCTGTGTGTGTGTGTTTTTATCCTCCCTCACATATTATGTAACATAACATAACATAACAACCAGAGGAAGAGGGAATCGCATGAGACAGGCATTGCTGCTTTAGCATCCATCATTTATGTGTACCAGCTTTTGCTCTTTCCCTTATGAGTTATTATTCATCATGCATGCCATAGCAGCCGCCAGCACCTGCTATTATGTGTCAGTCAGTCTACTCTGAATTTTGATTCGCTTTCTCTTTCTTTCCCCATTAAAAAACGCGTGACCCTCTTCTTCCCCCAACATCTTTGAATTATATTGAAAAGTGAATCCTCACTTTTCTCTTTTAATTATTCTCTCCTCTTAATTAGAGATATATAGTGACGCCATATATATAACAATATTGTCTCTCTTTTCATCTATGCAAAACCATTTCACAATTAATTAACCTCTCTTTTTCTTTTTCATTTCGCTTCTGTTGTTGTTGGTTCGTACTTTTGCATGAAACTCACTCATTTTGTGCCTTTGGACTCACTCACTCTCTCATCTTTGTACTTTGACTCTCTCACTCTCTCCTTATCTCACCCTCTATATAAACTTGTAACTGTTTCCATTCCCTTTTATTCTATCCCAAAAAATTCTTATACAATTTTCTTCATATCTCTCTTTCTAATAACATACCAATATATGCAAGTGTTGAAATCCGCCATGGAAATGGAAGCACCACCACAACAGCCACTGCCACCACTAGCCCAACCACCACCTCCACCTTTGGAACTTGACAACAAGAGACCTTATGAGATGGTGCATCACTTGGCGTCATGCAACGCCGTCGTGGTCTTCAGCATGAGTGACTGTTGCATGTCCACCGTCGCCAAACGCCTCCTCTTTAGCCTCGGCGTTGGCCCTACCGTCGTGGAGCTCGACGAGCAAGACAACGGTCCTGGCATCCAGGCCGTCCTTTACCAGCTTGCCGGAGCACATCAGCCCGTCCCCGCTGTCTTCATCGGCGGTAAGTTCCTCGGTGGGGTCCAGACCCTCATGGCCAGCCACATTAACGGAACCCTCGTTCCTCTCCTCAAGGAAGCTGGAGCTCTATGGCTCTAAACGTAGTATTGGAAATTTCTCAAATAGGTTATGTTACATCTTAGCATCAAGTTATGAAATTGATCATATGTAAATATAAGTAGCTAGGTGTCAATTAATTAAGCAGGTGACAAAAGTTATGTTTTGGAGCTTCGGTTGATGTGTATATTATGTTGACAAAGTAAAATGACTAATATATCCTTATATGTAATACCACTCCGAGCATTGATTCAATTCAATCTTTATTTCAAAGTTCACAATTAGTTGTGTTTCTTTCTCTTAGAAATATACCGCGCATGCGTTTTTTTTTTTGTATATCAAAAAAAAGTAAAAATAAACATAAAAATAAATTGATTGTATATTAGATTAGTTAACTATAATATTGTTGAATCTGTGGTGCTACTTTCCTAATCATGTGCCATGAATATTTTTGTGGTTAACAAATCAAATCTTGATAAATTGGCTTATACATATGTAGCACTCCGTTACAATTATGTTTTATATAAGTTGTAGTGAATTCCCTTGGCTTTTTTACCATTGTAGTCCTTATGTAATAATTAATTACCAAATTGACCTCGATTAGAAACTATTTCGAAAAATTAACCCTTCAAAAAAACATAACATCAATCTGTCCATGTTTGACTATTGACCACCAAGCCTACCCGGGTACCCCCTCCCTACCCGGGTATATTTTAAATTTTTTTATCTACCCGGGTAGGAAGGGGGGTATCGGGTATATTTCTTGAATCTGGAAAAATGTTTGAATTATTTACCCGGGTAGGGGGGTACCCGGGTAAATAATCCAGATTGAAAAATAAGCAAAGATGGTGTCATGCCAACTGAAGAACAACAACTCCAAATTGAAAATGTCAAACTCAAAGCTGAGGTTTGTGTCCACAAAACTCAAAAACATAGGTTATAATTACTTTTTTGATTTTCTTTATATATAAAATCCAGATTGAAAATTTACACTCTTAAAACATTTGTAGGTAGAGAAATATACCCGGGTACGCAATTGTCGTTGTCTTCAGTGCCTGCTTCAGAAGTTGCAGTCTTCGGTCATCAAAGCTCAATGTCACGTGAAATGTTAACAGTAAAAATAAAACAAAACCAAAACCTGACCTATTATACAGAGCAACTTAACAAAAAAGAGGTCTCAAGAATAAGATAGTTTGATCGTTGCTGTAGAGAGAAATGGCTGGTAACGTAAATAGGAGATTGGGCGTGGCTGTGGATTTCTCACCATGCAGCATAAAAGCACTAAAATGGACGGTGGATAATGTTGTCAAAGAAGGGGATCACCTCATTCTTGTTATCATTCGCACCTCAGAATACTACGAGCACGACAAGATACAGCTCTGGGAAGCCACCGGCTCACGTTAGTAATCTCTGTTACCATGCTTTTATACGTGTTGCAATTCATGTACCCGAAATATATATAGGAGCTTATAGAACAAAAATTCTATTCAGAATTGTTGTTCTTCAGTTGGCATGGCACCATCTCTGCTTGTTTTTCAATTTGGATTATTTACCCGGGTACCCCCTCCCTACCTGGGTAAATAATTCAAACATTTTTTCAGATTCAAAAAATATACCCGGGTACCCCCCTTCCTACCCGGGTAGATAAAAAATTTTAAAATATACCCGGGTAGAGAGGGAGGTACCTGGGTAGGTTTGGTGGTCAACGGTCAAACAGAGACAGATTGATGTTATGTTTTCTGGAGAGGTTAAATTTTTAAAATAGTTTATAATCAAGATCAATTTGATAAATAATTATTACACAAGGGCTACAATCGTCAAAAAGCCGAATTCCCTTATCTAAAGGATAGCATGCACCTTTTAGAACTGGAACTTGATTGCTGTGAATTTCATTCAGCTTACCACCAAAATGATACTTAAGTGGGAATTGTTAAGTTTCTTTTTCTTTTTTACATTTTGGGATGTGGGAAAAAAAAAAGGTGAGAGTTGTGGCCGGAAAGTTCTTCTCTCGCCGGCGTTTAGTTTAGATTTGCCGGAAAATATCGTAAGGTAGGATGGTAACGTTATGCATTTGAGATTATTCTTGTTCTGAGAAACACTGAGAAAAGGAGAGAAGACACGTCACATGTCCGTACTATATAATTGGTGTACTGTACATGATAGTTTTTATGGACAATGTGATCGCATCAAGGACATGTATTGTGTGTGTAGTACTTCATAATGCATCGCATCGCATGCCATGCGGATAGCAAAGAAAACCGTTTGGCCTAAATGTAGGTATCTTTGTTCGTATTTCTGTGGTTTGTTATTTTGCTAAGGAAAGGCTGCAGCAGAATGACCTCATGGTCAAGGCATGTTAAGTAATGTACTAATAAGAAAAACAAAACAATTATAGCCCAATTCAGAATTAAAATAGGCAAGAAATAAAATCTTTCTATTTTCCTCTGAAATATCTTTTTTGCTACGTACGATTACAATTGTCTTTACAAAATCAATTTATGAAAATCAGCAACTGAAATTATTCATTAATTCTAAATGCAATGAACCCTATAATTTTGGGATTTAATTAAAAAAAAAAAAATCACATTATATATATTCAGAGCCACACACGCAAGGGCACGCTTATATACCATTTCTGTGTTATATTGATCAAGTTAACAATTCTCAATTTTAAATGTATAGTCGAAATAGGTAGTAAATTAGAAATTTTTCTCTCGTTGCAATATTAGCATTTTTGTTGTTGTTGTAAATGTTTCAGCATTTTATTTTCAAGTGAAGATGGATCGACATACGGTAGAAATCAGTGCAGTTACTGACACTATGCCTTTCCAGCGTCTACATGAATAATATTTCGATGATCTAATAATTCCTCCATATACAACCATTTTATTCAATAAACCATTTATTAATTAATAATTAGGGGTTAATAAATGGAGGTATATCAGAAAATGCAATTATTATAGGTTTACGTCTCACGGTAAAGGTCGGTGCACAACTCTGTTGCCACAAATCTTAAAAATAATAATTTATTTGTATTTTATTCAAGGGAGAATCACCAATAAAGTTGTCTTCAAATAGATTCCACCAAGAGGATGTAAAAGGAAATATAATGTATTGCAGGATTTAAATTATTGCACTTGCTTGCTTTGCGGTTCCCAAAATATTTTAAATTTAAAGTAAATTTTAATCTTTACAATTTTTAATTATTTAAATTTTAGTTGTTTATATTTTTTATTATTTTTTATTATATGTTTTTATAACTTTTTACCACTAAAGTTTTGGTGATTAGAAATAAATCAAATTATAACAATCTATTCATCGTAAAAAAAACAAAAGAATCATTTACTTTTAACAAATATATATTATAAGATCTAAAAGTATAACAATAAAAACTAAAACCATAAAACGTGTTTTAAAGACTAAAACTTAAATTAGTAAAACCTATAAGAAATAAAATCTACTTTACTCTAATATTTTAAATAGTGATAAGATTAACGAAGTTCGGGTAAAGATCTTAAAATCAGCATTAGTTGGATGGGCTAAATATACTGAGAGAGGAAATAATACCAGGATTGAAATAACATAGCGTATTGCAAAAACAGAATCATGACTATTTCTAATTACATAAAATCATCATCATTACTATTAGCAGATATAACAATCGTAATTTTATTTAAAAACTCATTCTTTTTCACAAATTATTGAGCTAAACCCAAAATCATATTGATTGTCTGATATAGTCATATAGATATTGTAAGATTGATGATTACAAAAGATTGCCATAAAAAAAGAAGAAGCTGAAATAGTCCATTTTCTAAACCAGAAACCTACTAATCAATAGATTAAATAATGCTAATTATGTGACATAATAGTACATAGAAGTTGATTAACATTCAGAAAGACTTTATGGCAACATGCATGTATTCTACTTAGCATGCAGATTAAAAGTAAGAAAGGCTATGCAGAGAAAATAGTTGCTCTGTCTTTTTTTTTTGTGATCATTGATAAGACTCAGATTTTCATTTCCTGTACTTTTCTTTTACCCGTTACGAATTAGTTTTCCATGTTTGTTTGTTTTGGGTAATCTGCAACGAAATCATGAAACAGGATATTAAATTTGACCAGTACTGATTCTTCTTTCTATTCGTGGAAATGGAAAGACATTACTAAGGGCGCATATGATGGGAGCATGACCCTTTAAAGTAAAGTACCCCAATCTCTCTCCTCAATCTCCACTTGAATTTCCTATGCATTTGACCGTTTTCTACACTTTTTGACTGTCACTGCTACTGTTGTTTTCCTTTGCTACTTTTCCCCGAAATCAGTACTTTGTTAGTAATTAATAGGTATCCTTTTATTATTTATTTTTAAGCCTATTATTTTAGTTTATTTTTTTCAATTAACTATTAGCTTTATTATTTTAAGTACTTTTAAAACAAAAAATTACTTATAATTAATTATCAAACAATTCTATATAATATGGGAAAGAGTTATATTTACAAACTTTTTGTTTACAATATGACCGATCAGACTTAGTGTATTTTGTAAAAAAAGTTTATAAACTGATCATTCCTCGTATAATATAATACAAAAATTTAAATATATCTACTACTGAATTTTTCATTACAAAATTAAGTTAACCTTTCAATATAATATAAATATATATAACTTTAAACATATTATATGAAATATATGATTTGTACGTATACTTCTACGAATATATGTCTTTCATATTGCATGAGATAATTTTATTCAAATATGAAGATATTTAAACTCTTTCCAAAACTGACATATGGGGATTCAATTGAGACTATTTACTTTCCATTTATTCAGCTCCCTTGCTACCGACTGACCTACCACCATTTAGTATCAGAACACACAAATACATCTCTTAACATATAGTATATGATCGTTCAGTGGCGAAGCCACATATATTATGCTTGAGAGGGGCCTTGGCCCCAACTAAATTTCAAAAATTAATCTAGTTTTAAACGTGGCTAATTAACCGTGGCTAATTAACCTTTCACTTTTTAATATTTGGC